ACTTCCTGCTCCTCCCGCCGCTGTCAACAACACGCCGCGCTTTACGGCGCCGCTGTCGCAAAAAGACGGCCCGACGTCGCAATTCGCTTCGCGGCGTTTCCGCCTCTTTCTCTCCCCCCCCCGCAGACTACAACTCCCGGCGTGCCCCGCGCCGCGCATGCGCGGGAGGGGGCGAGGAAAAGGCGGGAAAAGCGTGAGGTGATTTGGGGGGGGAAATGGCGCCTCCTCTGGGGAGCGGGGAAACGGGTGAAATTCCCTGTTTTTTACCTCAGAACGGGAGGGTTCCGCTCCCTCCGGTGAGGCCCCGGGGCGGGGGGCGGCGCTGGGCCCTGGGGAGGGGGGAAATGGCGGTGGGGAAGGGCAGGAGGCAGTGAGGGGCCACTCAGTGATGGCCGCCCCCTTCTCCTCCCCCAGGTGAGCGCAGGGATGGGCAAGCGCAGGAACGAGCAGCCGCCAGGTAACGGCGGGAGGGGACGGGGGACGTGAGGGGACAGGGGACATGAGGAGACAGGGGATGTGAGGAGATTGGGGACGTGAGGGGACAAGGGACGTGAGGCAATGGCGGCCATGAGGAGGCAGGAGTCATGAGGGGATGGGATGCGAGGAGATGGGGGACATGAGGAGACAGTGGCCATGAGGGGATGAGGGTTATGAGGAGATGGGGGACTTGAGGGGACAAGGGGACATGAGGAGATGGTGGCCATGAGGGGACAGGAGCCGTGAGGACACGGGGTTGTGAGGAGATGGGGGCCATGAGGGGATGGTGGACATGAGGAGGCAGGACTCATGAGGAGATGGGGGCCGTGAGGAGATGGAGACCCCGAATCAGGGCCCCTGAGGGGACGGGGGTCTTGAGGGAACGGCGTCCCCCTTCCCCTCCCTGCGAGGAGCCCCCCCCATCCTGCCCCACATCCCCCTCCTGCATTCGCTCCTCAAACCTCCCCATCCCCGTCATTGTCACCAACCTGTTCCGCTGCCAAAACCCCTGTTTGTAAGCGAAAGGACTCCCCGTTTTCACCTTTTTCACCCCTTTTTCCTCACCCCCCCCACCCCTCAGAGCCTTTGGGGGCTCAGGGCAGCGGGTGCCCGGGGCCTGCTCTCACCCCAACCTGTAGGAACACGGCTTGTTACGGGGATAAAACACCAAAACCAGGCACTTTCCGGGGGGGAGCAACACCTGCCAAGGCCCAAACCGCATTTCTGGGCATTTGGGAGGCAAAGGGGGGGGGTGGAACGGAGCCCACCCCCTGCAAAAATCCCTAAAAGCAAGTTTTTTCCCCCCAGTTCCAGTA